TGAGGCTCCCTCACCAGCTCAGGATGAAGGCAGCTCCCCTCTACAGCTGGCTTGTTCCTATTCCTGCAGTGTTGAGTCATGTTTAGTTAAACTGCGCTACAGAGCTGAACTGAACAGGGTTTATCTGGGGCCTCACACTGGTTTCCTGTTTGGATAATAACCAACCCCCACTGCCCACTGGATAAATGATGAGGTGTTGCTGCGGCAGCATTTCCACCCAATAACTTTTACCCTGAAGGGTTAGCAAGTAAATAAAGCACAGATCCATGTTTATGGCTGTTGTCATGTCTCTTTCCAAATGTTTTTTCTTTCTAGACTAAACAACTCTCTCTACTTGGAAGCTCATGGGTTCAAGGGTCTTGTTTCTGCTGCTGTACTCTGCAATCTGCCCAACTTGTTTACATCTGTATTTAAGTGAAGGGCTTGACAGCTGACAACTGTCTACTTTACAGCACTGGCACCCGTATTTATATTTACTGTGTTTTACCATAAACATTTCTATTGATGCAATGCAAAATGGCATTTTTTAAAACTGCTTTATGCTGTTGATTCTCCTTCTATAGTTTTGTTGCCTAGTCTGATATTTATCCAGTTTGTGTGCTGGTACCTTGTTCTTTGACAATGTCTTGTCGTTGAGTGCATTTGCTGTGTTATTTAATTTCTACCCATTTCTCCAAATCATCCAGTTCATGCAAAGCCTGATTTGGTCCTTCAAAAATACTCCTCCCATTAAGATAATGTTATCATCTTTGGCTGAAGCAAGCTCAAGAGAAAAATATTTAGGCAAAATTATGAGAACTTCAGGTTTTGGTTATTCCAGGAATTCCAGTAGGTCAGAGCTTCCTTTTCATGTATTTTTATTGAATTTCTCTTATGTTCTCCTTATTCTACTGGAACATGGATTAGTGAGCTGCTAGGAGAAACGAGGAAAAGTATAAGGCATACTGAAAGTACTAAAAGTCAATTTCCATATGCCTGCCAAAGTTTTATGCCAGCAGATAAGCTTATTAGTACATTTTATAGCAGTGCCACAGTTTTATTGCCATTGATTATGTGTTGTGTCACCCTTGATATTTTAATAACTGTTTAATGTCAGATGACTCATTGTTTTCAGTCATATGTGATGAAAAATAGAAAAAGCACATTTACTGAGTATACTGTACGTGTATGCTACAGGAAGTATTGTAGAAATGGAAAAAAATGTATGGAAGAACTTCCTGTAATCTGGAAAGGGCAAATGACAATATCACTTGTGAATCTACCAGCGAGGAAGAGAAAAGCTGGTGCACAGTTTGTAGGTGAAATGCCTCATGGGATTCCACTGTAGTCATGATTACATACATTATTCAAAGGAAATAAATACAATTGTGAAAGCAGCTTCTCTGATTATGCTGGTCTCTTGCCTGGCAAGAGAAGTCAGGTGAAGTGTCTCATTGTATCTACAGACTTTAAAATAAATTAATTCCCTGGCAACACACTAGCTGCACATGCATTTTAGATTGAACTATCACCCTTCTATTGACATATCAGAACAAATAAAATTATCTTAAAAAATAGGAGTGTTTAGATCTTGCATTTTTGTTTGTTCAGTGGGCAAAACTCTTATTACAATATTTTAAAACCGCTTGCTCAAACATTAAGCTATTATATTCTTTAATAACCTCATGTTTTTTCTTCCTGCTATTTCACTGAATAGGTCCTTTATCTCTTTTCAAGGATTGAAAGCACACATATGGTTCTCCAGAACAGTACAGTGAGTTTGCAGCTGCAGGAGGCAGGACTGTTACAGTAAGTTTCCAGGTCAGCCAAAGGTCTGTCACATAATTTTGACCAAGCCAAAGTGTTGACTTATTGGTCACGGAATGACCTCTGTTTTTTCTGGTATCTTTGTTTAAAAGGCTCCTAAAAATGAAATGTGTTTTTCTTTTTATGTGGCTGAATAGAAATATGTAACAAACACCATTATTGTTCAGACCACTGTGGTGCCAGAAGCAGATAAAAATGACGTAAGAGTATAGCAGGTATGATAAGGAGGTGAGAAGCTCAGGGAACTTGGACTGTTTATCCTGAAGAAAAGGAGTTTCATGGGGGTCCTTATTGGTCTCTACAACCACCTGAAAAGAGGTGGAGTGAGATGGGGATCTGTCTCTTCTCCCAAGTAAGCAAACTGTAGAACAAGAAGAAATGGCCTCAAAATGTGGCAGGTGAGGTTGAGATTGGATATTATGAAAAATTTCTTCACTGAAAGGGTTGTCAGGCGTGGCACAAGCTGTCCAGCAAAGTGGTGGAGTCACCATCCCTGGACATGTATTTAAAGGACATTTAAAGGACATGTAGATGTGGTACTTTGGGACATGGTTCAGTGGTGGCCTTGCCAGTGCTGGGTTAACAGTTCAACTCAGTGTTAAAGGTCTTTTCCAACCTTAATGGGTCTATGATTCTAAGAATTGGCAATTTTGGCTGTTTGGAACCAGGTTCCTTATGTGTTATACTCCAGTTCTCAAGGCTTGGGAACTGGTTTACACACTGGATTTTGGAGCAGATTAAGTGGGAGTGTGGATTGGTCTGTGGTCCCGTTTCATTCCTTGCACCAGGACCATGTTATGTCCACAGGTGGGACTAGGAAGATCTCTTGGTTTGTGTTATTTGCAAAGTGCTATTGTGTTGTACTAAATATTAAAAATTGCCATTTATGTTTAATTTAGAATCTAGGTATGGACTGGAAGGATTTGGTTTATGATTTCATGTAAAGCTCACGTGGCTTGAAAAATCTAACATCAGAATTCTTTGTTGACATTGTCTTTATTGAAGCATGGATCTTTAGGTTGGTTCACCATAAAGTGAAGCATTTTATTTATGATAATAGACAGTTTAGGGCTATAGGGGCAT